AATCATTTAATTGTGTGAATTGATCAAGGCTGCATTTCCCAAAAGCTTCATTAGCCTAAGTAGATTGCAGAGACCATTAATGCCTATGGTTTCAGCACAGCCCAGAATGTTGTAAACATTTTTTTATTAATTTAGTAACTTATCTAAAATTTAAATATGTGACCCTGGACCACAAAACCAGTCTTAAGTCGCTTGGGTATATTTTTAGCAATAGCCAAAAAAACATTGTATGAGTCAAAATTATCGATTTTTCTTTTATGCCAAAAATCATTTGGATATTAAGTAAAGATCATGTTCCATGAAGACATTTTGTAAATTTCCTACCATAAATATATCAAAACTTAATTTTTGATTAGTAATATGCATAGCTAAGAACTTCATCTGGACAACTTTAAAGGCGATTTTCTCAGTATTTAGATTTTTTTTTGCACCTCAGATTCCAGATTTTCAAATAGTTGTATCTCGGCCAAATATTGTCCTATCCTAACAAACCATACATCAATGGAAAGCTTATTTATTCAACTTTTAGATTATGTATCTCAATCTCAATTTCAAAAAATTCCCCCTTATGACTGGTTTTGTGGCCCATGGTCACATATGTATATAAATTGCATCCTGATTCCTGGATTTTATTGCTTATAAATGTAGCTCATAAAGTACAAAGGCAGTCAAACTACAACCCAACTTGACGATCCAGTGATACAAAATGCTTGATGCCTGACCAGGCCATCTGCCTAATGGGAAGGTCTATGGTTGAAACTGAGCTCATTCGTCAGCAGTGTTTGGGCATAAAGGCATGAAAACTCTCACAACACCAGACCTCAGAGCATCCAACATCCCCCACCAGAAATTCACACATTACCACATGACAGCTGAGCACAAAAACACCAATCAACCACAAGAGCAGTCTGTGAAGATTTTGTCTGTTGATTTTGCAACTGGACTCTAAAAGCAGTTCAGCTGCTGGCAGCACTACGAACCTCAAACTTCAACTTTTCCCTGTGTTCTCAAATTGTTTAAAAGGCAGCTGAAAAGCCAAAGCCAAAGCTTCTTAATCAGACTGGCAAAGAATCAGTTCCTCACTTCTCAAAATGATGTTCATATTATTTACAATTTACACTTTAATAAACTGTAATCCATCACTTCCAGCCAGCGACGCTGAGCACCAGGAGGGCCTGAAGACTCCGCTCAACCATAACTCAAATGTAGCTTTTTCATTTTTTACCCACTGCACTTTAATACAGTAAATTAACCCACATACTGATTAAAAAGTTTGTTGGAATGAATTTGAGTTTCATATTATTTTTCCATTAGTGAGGTGACGTGTAGGCCAAGTATGGTAACACATACCCAGAATTTGTCTTCTGCATTTTCCCCATCCAAGTGCTCACACACAGCAATGAGTAGTGAACACACACACCATGAACACACACCCAAAGCAGTGGACAGCCATTTGCTGTGGTGCCCTGGGAGCAATGGGGGTTAGGTGCCTTGCTCAAGGGCACCAGTCGTGGGTGTTGAAAGTGGAAGAGAGCACATTAGTGAGGACATTACTGAGGAGGGGAAAGGCATGTTTAAGTCTAGGCGAGAACTGCTGGGTTGTGTTTGTGATATTAAGTGCATTAAAGTATAATTGAATCCCAAATCCATCCAACAGTTTTCAAAGACTGCAGGGTTAATGCCATTAGAAGTTGTCAGACCAGGCTCTCCACAGGAGAACCAAAAGTAATATCACGTCACTGTGTTCAGAGGGAGACTTCAATGGTGTCCGTGTTTATTCATCTGACCAGAAATCCAAAGTGATCCATAATAATGTGCTAGTATAAGTTACCGCTTTTCTTAACAAACAAGTATATGTTTGTTTCATAGGATACAGTGCTCATGTTAACTAAAAAGAAAATGCCCCATATGCACACACACACTCTGAGTATATCTCAAGCATGGACATTGTTGGCAGTTTTGAGTCTAAATGGAGTCAGGAGCTCTGGCAACTTAAGGCAGATCTAAGGATTGTGCACATGAAAAGTCTGTAAAATATAGAGCCCAATGTACTGTGTTAATATGAAGGAACTTTCTGAATTGATTTTTCACAGGTGTTTTACCCATTAACTATGCATTGTGTTGCATTTTAGGGTAAAATTGTCTGTAAACGTAACAGGAAAAGTTACTGGTCATTTTCTGCCAGAACATTATCTATTTTTCTACATTTCTTTTTTTACAGGGAAGGCTGAGCCAATGCAACTCACACAGGGCTACAGTTTGTGGAGTAATTTGGTGGGAGAGTTTGTGGCTGTTATTGCAAACTCAGAGCCTTTTTTCTTTAAACATTTCACAACTACTTTAACACATACAGTGTTGTCTCTTAACCTCCAGATATTTCCTGCTCTAAAGGCTGCATGTTATCTTCCCCCTTCTACTTCCTCCTCGTGCTGGTGGCTTATTAGTGATCACACACATGCTGTCCACTTCACACAAACACTCATCAGCGCCTGATACATACGTGCCCCGGAGAGCACACGTCCCCGCGGAAGCAACACCGGCCAACACCAGGAGACCTGCAGATCCAACAAACGCTGAAGCGAGGAACCCAAAGGTTTGAACATCTCCTCAGCTAGGCTAGAAAGAGAACACAAGAACACTAGTATTAAAAAAGGAAGAGCAGTAAAGAGAAACTGAGCAGCATGGTGGGCATAGAAAAACGTCCATTAAATAATCAAAAATTTGAACTTGTATGAGGTCTTTCATAGGATTTTGATCTTTTTTTTCAATCCTTTTTCATTACCTGATATTTTGAGCTGGATGCTGCACTCCACTCAAGGACTCTCTTTGGTATTCAGTCTGAAAAATCTTTCTAAAAACTTAAGAATCATTGATTATTCAGTTTGTTTGAGTACATCTGACGAACGGGAGGAGTGAAAGGGAAAGATCTTTCTGAACTAAACATGCTTTCATATAATTTTTCTCATCTCTCCAGGTCTATTCACACATCTACCAGTCTCTCTCTGATCTAGACTCTTCTCTTAGAGTATTTGACAGACTGTGGTTGACACTCGATTTAAGGGGGTGTCAGTTTGTCAAATACCCCAAGAGAGGGGGCACGAGTCTCCAAAGTTCAGCGACACCTCGTTTGACACAAGCGACCTTATTACACCCTCATGTTCAACCGTGTGCAGCAGGGCATGTGTAAGATTAGCTACTAATGCTTGTGCAAAATGTCTAAGGAAAAGAATCAAAAAAGCAGAACCACGGGATGTCTTCTGTATAATCTAATCATTTATAGTGTGCATTTGTGTTCATTGGCTCTATATTGCTGCAATCTTTCTGGATGGATGAACAGGTAGATTGGATACATACATGAAAAAACAAATGCCAGAAAAGTAGCATTGATGCAGTGCTGTCTGTATCAGGGATCATGTTATAATAAATTACTCTTACATACTTAATATGATTTAGATAACCAGTGTTTAGCGTGCTGAGCATGTTAGCAGCTGCTGATGACAGTTTGAGTGCACAAGTTCCTTGCTACAGAAAAGAATTGTGAAATTTGTTTCATTGTTATTATGTGTTGCAATGCATGTGGGAGTGTGAATGCATGTTAATTAAATCTAAACATGTTTTGTTTACATTTAGTATTTCAATTCTGTGTACAGTAGTTGTTTATTAGAACATCAAACAATAATTACAAATGGAAATTTCTCTTTCAGAAATGACATTTTATGAGGTTAATAAGAAAAGCACATTTGCATTTCCAGAAAGAATTACCAGTGCTTGCAATGTTGCAAAAGAATGCTGTTCTAGTTTTTGTTAAGCTTAGGTTTTAGCATTTGGTCCTGCATCAATAAAATGTTGCATTTGAATCACCATTATCATGACACCCAGCACTCGTCTTGTTTTCTGTCAAGTGTGCATTACACCATTCACAGCTGAACTGAGATTGCCAACTTTCAATTCAACTCCTGAATTTAAGTTAATTTGAACTAAGGCAGCAAATAGAAATCTGAATTTAAGGACGTTTCATATCAGTTTAAATAAGTATAATTTATCATTATGTGGGGTGCAACCAAATCTGGGGGCGTGGCTAATTCAATTCAAATTCTAACTCATGAATTGCAAGGAAGCCAGTTCTTCTGAATTTCGAACAACCCTGGTGAATTCTAACAATGTCAAACAGATTTTCAGACTTTGGCCATAAATAATAAAAAATTATAAAATTATACAAAACAAAAATAGATATTATCTATAAAACAAAGTATGAAAAGAGTGTATATGCTATTTAACTGCAAAAATCTGTGGGGGAAAAGAGCACAACATTTTAAACAGAATGTCTAAAGAATATCAATACACTGAAGGTCCTCACACTGTATTAAAAAACATCTTTCTTCAAGCAAAGCTGTTGTAAAGCTGATACTATCAGAAACATGTAGTGCCCCCAGAACAGCCTGAGGTTAAGTATAGGTTATAAGGTGATTCTTGAGTTCAACACCTTGGTTTTTTGGATGAAGGACCTTTGGCTTACTTGCCCGAAGTTTTAAGCAGTACTGATCTAATGGTCTTATGCTGTGTAGGCTAACAACTGTATTAACTTGCTGTGCTGTTCCACTTTGACTCACACATTCACATTGATCCAGAACCATGTGATTTTAAACTTCCAAACATGCAGTTGAGTTGGAGGTGAGTCTAATGCACATGCGTTATAGGCGTTGCTAAGCCCTAAGTGCAAATATTGTAATGTATTCTTTCAAGCAAGCTTCTAAGTCACAACATCACTTAAGGCAAGAAATATTCATCCCATTCTTTGCTGTGTTAAGATTCATTTAGGTGATAAACAGAGGCATACTGGTGGGTCACGTTCATTTTATTATTTTGTCGAATTTCAAAGTACCATGTTCCTATGCCATCAAACAGAACAAGACAAAAACAACTTTGGAAAAGAAAAATATTTCTGACTGTATATTAAGTGTAAAGTTAACATGGTGATTGTACGTGTGAGAGCTTGTGTATCATTTGCTGCTCACTGCCTCTTGTTTTCCTTGTTGATCATTGATCTCTTGCGGAACGTTAACTGTCATTCCGTCCATCCAGTGCTCCACAGACACCTGACACCCCAAACGAGATCTGAATCAATGACAGGACAACATAAAAAAAAATTATCACAGTCAACAGAATGTTCATTTTTGCAGTATAGTTTTAACTCAAAGTTTGTCATTTGACGAAAACATCCATTACATGTTTTTCACAAAGACAGTTTTCGTCATTGTCTAAGATGCATTGATGTGATTACAGACATCCCACCCAGCAAAAACTAATTTCAGTGAGGTAGCATTACCACCACCCCATTATATTATATTATATTATATTATATTATATTATATTATATTATATTATATTAGAGTTTGGCCTCTTCGTGTAGTAATACATGAATAAAGCCCCTAAATTTGTATAACATTAGCACCAAAAATCATAGCATTTATCCTTTTAATTTTTCTTCTTTCATGCTCACCCGTAAACGGTAACTGCATCTCGGCTGACAACTTGTTAAAGGTTCACTGAAAATGCACTTTAATACCATGTAAAGTAAATACCATTGCTCTCTCGATTTCCGGGATATTGTATATAATTTGAGGGAGTGGGATGTGCTATCAATATCGAGAGACTCTCAGACCTTCTGGGAGAAGTCAGATGTCTGTGATTAGCAATGGTTGAATCCTCTACAATCATTCTAACTCACTTAAAGCATTACTGACTTAACACTCTGACACTTTAGATCCAGGTGTCTTACGTCTTGGTGAGTCCATAAGCTAAATCCAGCATGTCAACCTCTTCATCCACTATTGGTTCCAGTTTGTCATACACACTCTCCTCAAATATCAGGTGACAGGTGGAACAGGCCAGAGTGCCCTCACGTGCTCCTAAGACACAAACATACACACACACAAACTTAAAAAAAAAAATATTTTATTTTTTTGCTAATAACACTAAGAACTGTCAGTCTTCCATTTATAACATATTTCATGCAAAGCGTCTAAATAAATAATAAAATTGGGCCTTAATTGTTCTGTAAACAATTACCACCTGTGGCTGAACCTTGTTGTTTTTCAATTGTATGCGTCAACAAGGGAAAGCATCTTTCTTTTGACAGCTTTGACAAATGCAACAAGGTGAAGACTGAAGTGTCATATGTGTGTGGGAACTGGAAAAAAAAATGTATGACACAAGAGCAAGACAGAATCTTACTGGAAAAGGACTATATATAAGTTACTATACATGCCAATCTACTTCGAGTGTAAGAAAGACGAGCCAATGCACATTGGCATGCAATAATTGCCACAGCTGCTCTGCACTGCAGCGCGAGTATTTAATGAGCAGCCGGTGCGTCGCATATTTGCTTTTCGCTTCGGAGCCAAACACATGTGCTGTTCCTGCTTATGTTTTATGTTTTTAAGGGGTACGTGGAGCTCCTCCCAGTGGAGTGGTCTGTGGCGATGCAACTGTCATAAGACCGCTACCTCTCGGCAGGGTAATCCGCATCTCCACTCCCGAGCGTGTAAGTTCTCGTCCTCTCTGGCGGGCAAGGCTTACACAGCTTGTGGAGAAGCAGCTTCCGTCCTGCATGCCATGGCGCTCCTGCAGGTCTACCAGGCCAAAGCGCTCAAGGAACTGCACGAGGGTTAGTTCTGACCCAGGGGTTATGCAGGAACTGCGTACAGCGACGGACCTTGCCCTACGGGCAACGAAAGTCACTGCACGCTCCCTGGATCGGGTGATGTCCACCTTAGTGGTCCAGGAGCGCCACCTGTGGCTGAACCTGGCAGATATGCGTGGGCCCGACAAAGTTCGGTTTCTCAACGCCCCTGTCTGTCAGGCCGGCCTCTTCGGCGACGCTGTTGAAAACTTAGCCCAGCAATTTTCAGCAGCACAGAAACAGACGGAGGCGATTAAGCACATCCTGCCCCGATGATCAGCTGCTGCCTCCACCCAGTAGTCGGCTGCAGCGCCTTCATCTGCTCGTCGCCGAAGGTGCCCCCCGGCTCAAGGGGAACGCCCAGCCTGTCCCGGCCCCCGCCAAACCAGGCGGTAAGCGTAAGGGTAAGCGGCCCTGAGACGGGTGATCCCAGAGATGGGAGGATCTGCTCTCCGGGAGATGGTGTCCGCACCACTCCCTCCCCCGGAGGAGGGCCGGGTGGAGAATCCTTTGTTTCCTTTTGTTTTTGTTCCGCCGCTGGCTCCTCGGAGTCCAGCGGTACCCACATTTAAAAAAAAAGAGCAATTTCCTCTATCTCTGGGTCACGAGAGGGCGGGGTTGGCAGTGTGTGACGTGTTGCAAACACCTTGCCACTCCCTTCCCCCTCTCTCTTCGCCAGCAGGCAGCAGTGTGTGGGTCGAGGACGCAACCAGGCCTTCTCTCACACCCTCTGCCCCACCCGAGAACCAGGTAGGTGTGGCGCAGCACACGCAGACTCCACTTCACCTCTGTGTGGAGCAGCGATGCCCCTGTCTTACGGACGGAGATCGGCGCCCTACTGGCGAAGGACGCGATCGAGCCGGTCCCTCCAGCCGATATGAAGGCAGGGTTTTACAGCCCCTACTTCATTGTGCCCAAGAAAGGTGGTGGGTTATGGCCAATCTTGGACCTGCAAACCTTGAACCGGGCCCTGCACAAGCTCCCGTTCAAGATGTTAACGCAAAAAATGCATTTTCGAGTGCATCCGTCCCCGAGATTGGTTTGCAGTGATCGACCTGAAGGACGCGTACTTTCATGTATCGATTCTCCCTCGAAACAGGCCGTTCACCTGTGGCTGAACCTGGCAGATATGCGTGGGCCCGACAAAGTTCGGTTTCTCAACGCCCCTGTCTGTCAGGCCGGCCTCTTCGGCGACGCTGTTGAAAACTTAGCCCAGCAATTTTCAGCAGCACAGAAACAGACGGAGGCGATTAAGCACATCCTGCCCCGATGATCAGCTGCTGCCTCCACCCAGTAGTCGGCTGCAGCGCCTTCATCTGCTCGTCGCCGAAGGTGCCCCCCGGCTCAAGGGGAACGCCCAGCCTGTCCCGGCCCCCGCCAAACCAGGCGGTAAGCGTAAGGGTAAGCGGCCCTGAGACGGGTGATCCCAGAGATGGGAGGATCTGCTCTCCGGGAGATGGTGTCCGCACCACTCCCTCCCCCGGAGGAGGGCCGGGTGGAGAATCCTTTGTTTCCTTTTGTTTTTGTTCCATAGCTAGCTCCTCGGTGTCCAGCAGTACCCACATTTTCAAAAAAAGAGCAATTTCCTCTATCTCTGGGTCACAAGAGGGCGCGGTTGGCAGTGTGCGACGTTTTGCAAACACCTTGCCACTCCCTTCCCCCTCTCTCTTCGCCAGCAGGCAGCAGTGTGTGGGTCGAGGACGCAACCAGGCCTTCTCTCACACCCTCTGCCCCACCCGAGAACCAGGTAGGTGTGGCGCAGCACACGCAGACTCCACTTCACCTCTGTGTGGAGCAGCGATGCCCCTGTCTTACGGACGGAGATCGGCGCCCTACTGGCGAAGGACGCGATCGAGCCGGTCCCTCCAGCCGATATGAAGGCAGGGTTTTACAGCCCCTACTTCATTGTGCCCAAGAAAGGTGGTGGGTTACGGCCAATCTTGGACCTGCGAACCTTGAACCGGGCCCTGCACAAGCTCCCGTTCAAGATGTTAACGCAAAAAATGCATTTTCGAGTGCATCCGTCCCCGAGATTGGTTTGCAGTGATCGACCTGAAGGACGCGTACTTTCATGTATCGATTCTCCCTCGAAACAGGCCGTTCCTATGGTTTGCGTTCGAGGGTCGGACTTATCAGTACAAGGTCCTACCCTTTGGGCTGTCCCTGTCACCTCGCGTCTTTACGAAGGTCACGGAGGCAGCCATTGTTCCACTCAGAGAACACGGCGTTCACATTCTCAACTATCTCGACGACTGTCTGATACTGACACAGTCTCGGGACCAGTTGTGCGAACACAGGGACATGGTGCTCCGTTGAACCCTCCTCGTCCTACCTCGGTACCCTCTTGGGACCTGTCTCTGGTGCTCACGGCACTGCAGAGACCTCCCTTTGAACCTTTGCAGTCAGCTGAGTTGAAAATTCTGTCACTAAAGACAGTTCTCCTGACTGCATTGGCTTCCATCAAGAGGGTAGGGGACCTGCAGGCATTTTCAGTCGATGAATCGTGCCTAGAATTCGGGCCGGCCAACTCTCATGTTGTCCTGAGACCCCGGCCTGGATATGTGCCCAAGGTTCCTACCACTCCCTTCAGGGACCAGGTAGTGAGCCTGCAAGCACTGCCCTCGGAGGAGGCAGACCCAGCCCTAGCTTTTCTCTGTCCCCTCCGTGCTCTGCGGCTGTAAGTGAACAGAACACAAAGCTTCAGAACCTCAGACCAGCTCTTTGTCTGTTATGGAGGCCAGCAGAAGGGAAAGGCTGTCTCCAAACAGAGGTTAGCCCACTGGATAGTGGATGCTATTGTCTTGGCTTACCAATCCCAAGACGTGCTTTGCCCGTTCGGGTTGCGAGCACACTCAACTAGGAGTGTTGCTTCCTCCTGGGTGCTGGCTCAAGGCGCCTCGCTGACATATATTTGTAGAGCTGCGGGCTGGGCTACACCTAACACGTTCGCTAGATTCTATAGCCTTCATGTAGAGCCGGTATCTTCCCGTGTACTCGCCCCCAGTGGCCAGTAGCGCCAAGAACCCGTTCTAGTGTCGGCTTGCAACGCCACTCCCGCCTGCTGGGCTGGATACGTGCGTCTATTGCTCCAGTAGAGTTCCCCAGAAATGGCTAACCCTGTGAGTCCATCTGTCACCCCCCGGCAGCTAGACGTGGTGGAGCGTCCCTGCGGCGATCCCATATGTCTTCCACGGTAAGGCTACCCAGGCCGGCTAGCCCGTGTCTTTCTCTCGACAGAGCCCGCTCTGTCGTCTCTGCTGGTGTTCTTTCCCCCCTAGAACTAGGCTGGAACCACCCCAGAGACTTCCATATGTTGTATTACCCTAATTGGCTAGTCCATATGTGTAACCGCCACATTTTACTTCCTACGGGCAGGATGTGGCCTCCCCAGCATTCCCTTCCCTTTTAGGGCACGCTTTCCCAGCATTATCCAAATAGTCACACTGAGTGGGTCTTGCGGAACAGCAGTGACTGACCTTCTCTGCTTAGAGCCCTGACTCCCGCTCCAACAGTTGGGGGCGGTCCAGGAGTCTCAAGCAGAGCGCTGGAAGGGCCAGCGACAGTGGCGTGTTGGTAGATATCCCCAATTCATCGGTCAGTTCCGACGTACGTCGAACGTGACCGAATGAAAGGGAACGTCTCGGTTACGTATGTAACCCTCGTTCCCTGAACCCTTCGTCCCATCGCCACAGTCGTTGTACCTCCTCTGTATGGCCGAGTCACTAGCTCGGCTCCTCAACGGAAAAGCAAATATGCGACGCACCGGCTGCTCATTAAATACTTGCACTGCAGCGCAGAGCAGCTGTGGCAATTATCACATGCCAATGTGCATTGGCTCGTTTTTCTTACACTCAAAGTAGATTGGTCTCCCAAAGCGATCCCCAATTTGTCGGTCAGTTCTGACATACGTCTCCGTTCCCTCCTTCAGGGAACGAGGGTTGCATACGTAACCGAGACGTTTCCAATCAATTTTCAATATACAAAATCAAGTCCCACCCTACATTTATTTTCTAATTTGAGAAGCTGTTTCACTCAGCTATACATTACATCAAAGAAAAAATGAGCATTCCTATTTCATGCTGACTATAAGTACAAATTATTTTGTCACATATAAGTCATAATAAAATGGGATAGAATATGTTAAAAGGAAAACAAGTGAGAAAATGGAGCAAAAGTTCCATAACACACACACATAAAAAAAGGTACTTAGAGCGATCACATGGAGCCAAAATTACACAAAAAATGGTTTTATTACCAAAGCCGCTGATGTCAAGATTTTTCTTGATGACAACATCTAGAGGAGTCTCTCCCTCTGTGACAAACACGCTGCTCTTTACCCCCGACTGATTTACAAAGTGCACCAACACTTTAGAGTCCGAGGAACTGAGAACACACACACACACACACACACACACACATACACAGATAAACATACTGAACTCATTTCATTGCACTGCTTTTCTCTGTAGAGGCATTCTGACAAACAACAAGTGAGAATAGGTAGAGGCATTCTTAATGACAAACAAGTAAGAATAGAATTGCAAACAATGAATTGGCTTGAAGAGTCAAGTATTGTTAAATTAAAATACAAACAGTGCTTGCTACTGAAAATTTCTGAGCAGGAACAAGGGCTAATTTTTATTTATTCATTTATTTATTTTGAGTGTGAATTTCAAAGAGGGAGTTCTGCACTAATTTAACTCTTGATTACACAAGGATGTTGATTAGTTTTAATCATTCTGTATGTTTGCAATCTCTTAATCGCTCATGTGCAAGGGAAGGCCCTTATGATTGCTCAGTTAGGCATGTAGGGTATCAGACCGAATCAGACAATTTAAGATTTGATAAAGAACAGTTGAAACACGAGGAGCCGAATTCCACAGAGGCCCAAGACACAGGATGTTCGTAAATCAGGTCCTGGTGCCACAAGCCTGAACCAACTAGCAGCTTTGAGTAGCTCACAGCATTTAAACAAAAGAACACTTATTGACAATTCCAAGGAGATTGTCAATTTTGGGGGCAAGTAATCAAGATTAAATGGTCAGAGATGCACAGCATGACCATCACATGTAAACCAGTGACGATCACGAGCTCTTTGGATTGACTTCCCCCACCTCGACGACAAAGAACAGACTGAAATTCTTTATGAGAGACCTCTAAACTTGGGATTTCACATTTTCATTTCCTTAAACTCATTATTTCCTTACTTTCTCGCTTTCTGCAACTTGTGTGAACGTGTGAATGCGTGTGTTCATGTGTTAGATTAGTTTATATGTCTTAGATTTATCCAATAAAGCCTTATTTATATTGAAAAGAGAAGTATCTTGTGTTTTGTGCTTACAAGTTAATGTCTTAAACTGTCGATTTTGTTACTGTGCTAATTAATAGTGTTTTCACTATATTTTGGATATAAATATCCATTGCAGAGTTGATGTTATACGGCCCGTTCAGTGAATCGCTGGCCGTCTCAGTGATCAGCCGTAAAACTGATTCTGTCCAAATTCCCTTTAAAATCTTAAATGATTCCCTTTGAGCTAAATTTACCTGTTTCCCTTACAGGCATTAATGAATTGCCTGTAAATCACAGAGAATGACACATTCAGTGGACACCTTTGGTGATTCCAGATTAAAAGTCTTTAATTAGACGTTTGTCAAAGAACATCATGACATTAAACATGATCTCCTAGTCTTCCATAGTCTTTAAACAGTGCAGTTAGATAGCAAAATCATGAAAAAAGGCTACAATTCAAATTTGAGGTTTTTGGACTTACTACAAGTAGAAAATGAAAAGTAGATTACCATCCTCTCAACACAAGAAAAATGACCCTGACTAGGGCATTTGTCCTTGTCATTGTGTTTACGTGAACAGTCATAATTAATTTATGGGTTTTTGTGTAGTCGAGCTACATTCATTATTTGTCTGTCCAAGTATACATGACACTATGCGTAACTGAATATTTAAATGATTAAATACACGTTACATCATATGCACAATGACGTGACCAATTGTAGGTCGATTTATGTGTGTACTTGTTGGACCATGCAGAGCTACAAATCATATTATCTAAGTCTGTTAGTCTAACTCTGCAAAAATCTGACAGGCACAATTTCAGCCAGACTAAAGAGTTTATTTTAAAAAGACAAACTAGTTTCAGTCCAGGTTTTATTTTTAGCAAACTTGCTTTGGGACCATATGCATTTTAAAATGCACTACATTTAATTGAATTAAGTGGTTCTATGAAGCAGATGACAAATGCCATGGCACTTCATGTGACTATTCCCGTTCTAGACTTTTCAGTGATGACTCATGTACTATGCACAGGGGACTCTGAACACATTTCATTGTCATCCATCCATGAATAACACATTGTTACATCCCTGCTTTTTTTTGTTTGTTTTTTACTTCCTCAATCACACTCTTTTGAGTTTTCATTTTGGATTTGCCCAATAATATGCTATTTTATGTAACTTGGGCTAATTAGTGGAGGTTGTTGCAAGTCACTCAGGCCTTTAAGAATTTTAATTTTTTATTATTTCTGTCATTTATAGAGAGATATGAGGGGAAAGGGGGTATAAAAAAGGTAGACAGGGGAAAGGGAAGCATGACATGCTGGCTGGGTTTTATGTGAAGAAACGGTGTGTAAGACAAGGCTTGAGGAGAGCTAAAGGTTATGTCCTCAGGTTTTACAAACATAGCCGTCTCCCAAACAAATAATATTCCACTAAATTCCCAAAGAGAGAAAAAAAAAGGATCCCAAAAGATTTCCCCCCGCTTTTTTCCTCACCCACACACATTAGCTAACAACAGACGCACTTTCTAAATAATCACATTCATTCCCTCAATTTGCAACACTTCATCCACTAATTATCTCAACCCACATTGGTTAACCTATTAGTGTGGTATAATACTTCCTTCATATGCACCTGGGAAAATCGTTCCTCCAAGTTGGGCATTCTTTATTGCGACACCTCATTCAAGTAGGAAACATAACACGGAAGTTGCCTAAACAAAACAAAATTATATTGTGAACAATAAACCCAACATTTGATTTAATTTAATCATGTATTCATGTATAAATAAGTGATTTACATCACTTAATTATACATGGTAGGCTATAAAAACTAAATGTTTGTGTTACATTAAGCAAACCATGATTAATTTAATCAGCTGTTCCATACATCACACCTTTTTACACAAGTTTTCCACTCATAAGCACGACTTTTCTCATTTGCCCAGAACTCGTAATTACAATATTTCTGACGCTACGTGAGAGGCACATAAATCCAAACAAACCCCAGAAGAGGGTAAAACAGAGTATTGCCCAAAGCAGAACAAAATACAAAAGTACTAGGCATTTAAACTCGGCAAAAAAAAAGGGGAAAAAAAGAAAAGAAACATCCCTGCTCAGGATAAAGTATTTTAAAGATAACTTTGTAAAATCCAAAGACCTTTCTGTTGACTCTGAAAAACGCCTGAAGAAAGATATGTGTGACCAGAAGTGACCAGGATCCCTGATCACCTGCGTGAACATGCCATAGTCCTGCTGCAGGGAGGCATGAGGACTGCAGATTTGGCCAGAGCAATACACTGCAATGTCCACAATGTAAGATTCAGCTGAGATAAAAGCAGTTGAATAAGAGGACATTTCTTTTTTGCTGAGTTGATAGATAGATAGATAGATAGATAGATAGATAGATAGATAGATAGATAGATAGATAGATAGATAGATAGATA